GTGCCGCCGGCGGCGCTGGGGCTGGTGAGGTTGGGAAGAGAACGGTGGCCGGAGGGGCTCGGGGGGCCTGCGCACTTTTCGGGCGGCGCCGGTCGCCTTCGTGCTGCCCCTTGCTCCGCGGTGTCGTCCCGCTCCCTGGCGGCCTTCCGCTCGTGCGCCGCGGACCAGGGGCCTACGGTGGCCGCGTGCCCGCCCCGCCCCTCCCACGGCTCTCTGCTCTCCAGGCGTCCTCTCGAACCAGCGGTGCAGTCCCCCCAAAGGAGGAGGAGCTCCGGGCGGCGGTGGAGATCCTGAGGGGCCACGGCCTGCACTCAGTCCTGGAGGAGTGGTTTGTGGAGGTGCTGCAGAATGACCTACAGGCCAACATCTCCCCCGAGTTCTGGAATGCCATCTCCCAGCGCGAGAACTCTGCCGACGAGCCCCAGTGCCTTCTGCTGCTCCTGGATGCGCTTGGCCTGTTGGAGAACCGCCTGGATCCCTACTTGCGCAGCCTGGAGCTCCTGGAGAAGTGGACTCGCCTAGGGTTGCTGATGGGCACCGGTGCTCAGGGGCTGCGGGAAAAGGTCCACACCATGTTGCGAGGAGTCTTGTTCTTTTCCACCCCCAGAACCTTCCAGGAGATGATCCAGCGCCTCTATGGGCGTTTTTTGAGAGTCTATATGCAGAGTAAGAGGAAAGGGGAAGGGGGCACGGACCCGGAACTGGAGGGCGAGCTGGACAGTCGGTATGCCCGCCGCCGCTATTACCGCCTCCTGCAGAGCCCGTCCTGTGCGGGCTGTGGCAGCGACAAGCAGCAGTGTTGGTGCCGCCAGGCGCTGGAGCAGTTCCACCAGCTCAGCCAGATCCTGTGAGTACCGCCTGGTGCCAAGCCCCGGCTCCTCCTGCTCGCTGCCCTGGTCCCGGCTGCTCTCTGACCACCACGGTGGTAGCCGAGGCTCTCTGCAGCAAGTTTCGGCCTCTGTGCCAGACATGTGTGCCTGTTGGCCACACCTCGCCCAGGGCTTCACACTTTGCCTGTGTTGAGGCCACGGGGCAGCAGCTTTCATGCTGACGCCACGCCTTTTGAGCTGTGCAGAATTCCCCTTCTCCTTCCTTCTGAGAGTGAGAGCAGGCCTCCGGGACCTGATGCCTCTGCCCCAGCCGTCAGCCGGCCCCATCAAGGAAGGAGGCGTCTGGGGTTGAAGCTGGGCGCCCATGAGGGCCCACTTGCAGGGCATTGTATTTTACCCCCGTGCCACTGTCCAGCCCTGCTGTGCCTTTCGCGGACTCTGGCGGGGAGGGTGTGGGTCCTTACGGTCTCTGCACGTTGTCGACAGTGGGCTCACTGTCCCCTCGGGCGTGTCAGGCGGCAGGTCGGAGTGCAGGGCCTCTTCCCATCCTCTGGGGCAGGGAGGGGCTGTCCTTAGAGCCAGGTCCTGCTAAGTTTTCTAGTGCTGTCACACTCCGCGTCTGGACATCTTGTGACGATTTTGTCACGTTGGACAGGATGGCAGCGATACAGGTTTGGGGAGAGCCACTTGGGTGGACTGGGGGTGGTCCTTGTGCAGTCCCTGAGGGGCTTTTTGCTGTGACGTTCTGGGTGAGAGTTACATGGGAACCTTCTCGTCTGGAGTCTGGTCACCAGGGAGACCCAGATCTGCCCTGAAGGACCGAGGGCCCCTAAGAGATGAGGCGGAGGCCCCAGGAGCCACAGCTGCTGCCATTAGTCACATGGGGAGACCACGGGCCCATCCCGGGCAGGGAGAGCAGTGCTATGTCATGGCGGGGCCTCCTCAGCTTTTCCTCAGAGCCCTCAGTGCGTGGCCAGCAAGTGGTGTAGTGATTACGTTGCTGGACTCCCATATTGTCGACCACAGTTCAAGTCCCGGACGCGGTGGCTTTGAAATGTTGCTGGGCACGTGTGTTTATTCGTGTTCCCGAACTCCCAGGAGGAGAAGGGATCGGGCATGGCTATCCTCCCTAGGGGGTGAATTTGCTCTCTCTCTCCAGTAAATGCATGTCTCCTGAGGCAAATTTAAAAAAAAAAAAACAAAAAAAACCCCAGTCCTCTGTGCAGTTACACCCCAGCAATGCTGTGGAAGTGTGCACACTGGCTGTGGGATGTGTGCGTGTGTGTGGGAGGCCCGGTGGGTGTGCACACTGGGTGTGGGATGTACACGCGTGTGTGGGAGGACCGGCGGGTGTGCACACTGGGTGTGGGATGTGCGCGTGTGGGGGGGAGGCCCAGCGGGTGTGCACACTGGGTGTGGGATGTGCATGTGTGTGTGTACATGTGAGGCCCGGCGGGTGTGCACACTGGGTGTGGGATGTGTGCATATGTGTGTGGGAGGCCCGACAGGTGTGCACACTGGGTGTGGGGTGTGTGTGTGGGGGGAGAGACCCGGCGGGTGTGCACACTGGGTGTGGGATGTGCATGTGTGTGTGGGAGGCCCAGCAGGTGTGCACACTGGGTGGTGTGGGATGTGTGTGTGTGGGAGGCCCGGCGGGTGTGCACACTGGGTGTGGGATGTGTGCGTATGTGTGTGGGAGGCCCGGCGGGTGTGCACACTGGGTATGGGATGTATGTGTGTGTGGGAGGCCCAACAGGTGTGCACACTGGGTATGGGATGTGTATGTGTGTGTGGGAGGCCCAACAAGTGTGCACACTGGGTGTGGGATGAGTGTGTGTGTGTGGGAGGCCCGGCGGGTGTGCACACTAGGTGTGGGATGTGCATGTGTGTGTTGGGGGAGGCCCGGCGGGTGTGTACGCTGGGTGTGGGATGTGCACATGTGTGTGTGGGAGGCCCGGTGGGTATGCACGCTCAGTGTGGAATGTGCGTGTGTGGGAGGCCTGGCAGGTATGCACACTGGGTGTGGGATGTGCGTGTGTGTGGGAAACCCGGTGGGTGTGCACACTGGGTATGGGTTGTGTGTGTGTGATGAGGTCTGTGTGGAGGGGAGGCCTGGTGGGTGTGCACAGTGGGTGTGGGGGTGTGTACATGGGGGGCCAGTGGGTGTGTGTACTGGGTATGGGATGTGTGTGTGTGTGTGTGTGTGTGTGTGTGTGATGGGGTCTGTGTGGAGGGGAGGCGTGGCGGGTGTGCACACTAGAGGCCCAGCGGGTGTGCACTCTGGGTGTGGGATGTGGTGTGTGTGAGATGGGGTCTGTGGGGGGGGCAGCAAGTGTGCGCACTGGGTGTGGGATGTGTGTGTGATGGGGTCTGCGTGTGCATGGGGGAGACCCAGCTGGTGTGCGTACTGGATGTGGAATGTGGGGGCGTGCACCAGCGTGGGGTGTGTTCCCGTGGAACCCACGTGCGGCCGCCCCAGGTGCGGGCTGCGTGTGCACAGTGGCACTCACACGGGGCTGTCCTGCAGACACAGGCTTGGTCTGTTGGAGCGGGTCAGTGCCGACGCAGTGACCACCACCCTGCACCAGGTGACCCGGGAGAGGATGGAAGACCGCTGCCGGGGCGAGTACGAGCGCCCCTTCCTGCGAGAGTTCCACAAGGTGCGCACGGGGCTGCCGTCTGTGTGCACGACACTGGCCGTCTGTGTGCGTGCGCGGGCTGCCGTCTGCATGCATGATGCTGGCCGTCTGTGTGCATGCGCGGGCTGCGTCTGTGTGCGTGACACTGGCCGTCTGTGTGTGTGTGCGGGCTGCCGTCTGCGTGCATGACGCTGGCCGTCTGTGT